CTCTGGCCCCCTCATGACTCGTGGACTTCAACTCCCAGAATTCCTGAGCCAGCATGAGGGAACTCTGGCCCCCTCATGACTCGTGGACTTCAACTCCCAGAATTCCTGAGCCAGCAGGGCTCAGCTTGGAAACCTCTGCCTTTCCCCTCAGCACGGCTGGCTCAGGAATTCTGGGAGTTGAAGTCCACAAGTCATAAAAGAGCCAAGGTTGCCTACTCCTGATCTAGGCAACAGGTTTTTTCCTATGGAGGGAGGCGCCCCCTGCTGTCTTGATCAGGCACTGCAAGGCCAACAAAACTTTTGCCCATCCCCTTTCAAACATCACAGACCCCCACCAGACCCCAACATGGCAGGCAGACCAAATGTGAAATTAAATAAATAGCCCCACAAGTGCTTGATACAGAGTCCCTGATTTGCCACCTTTTGCTTAGGGACAATTCAAAGTTACAAAGGCACTGTACCAGTGACTTACGACCAGTTTTTGCACTTACGAGCATTGCAGCATCTCCATGGTGATCAAATTTCAGACGCTTGGCAACTGATCTGTATTTATGACGGTTGTGTGTGTGTGATTCCAGAATCCAGTAATCAGGATCTCCGAAGCCAAGGATTCTGGAGACTGATAAAACAGGCCTGTGAAAAACCAAACTTGGTCCAGGGCAGCAAGAGTTGCGTTCGTTGAGTTCTCCCCCACCGATTCTCCATCCAAACGAGAGTTGCCTTCTCCGTTCGTTAATTCCAGATAATTTCCCCAAAATGCTACCAAGCAACAGGACAGTGAGATGATCTCTCAGAGGATGGAAATTGGAAATCCTTAGGATTCTTCCAGGGAGCGCCACACTCGGTGTAGGCTCACCTTCTAGTGGAGTTGGGCTATAACTCCCATCATCCCCTGCCCAAGCACAGACCATCAACCTGCAGATCCAGAGGTGACCAGATTCCGCTGCCGATTTCCAAAGCTTGGTGGCCAAATTGCTTTGAACCAGCCAGCAGGAGAGCAGCCCCCCCCCCATCAATGAGGCAGCCCACTAAACCTCCAAGATCCCACCCTTAAATTTCCCCCCTTGGGCCAGTTGCCTGTCCCCACACAAGCCCCAAACCCAGGTCTGGACACACAGACCCCTTCTGCAACCCCCTCCCCACCTTTAGTGGGATCCATCCCTCTTAACATGGGGTCTTTCAGGAGCTGAGGGGCCAGAGCAAATTCTGCAACCTGGGAGACCCCCCTCGCTCCCCAATATGCTGCTCAGCTCCAGGGGTTGCCAGGAGCACCAGCCCAACTCAAGGGGCACACCTGGGCGGGGGAGGGGAGGGGGATGGCAGTTGAGTCTGTGGGGTCCTCGGTGCTGCCAGTTTCTTGCAGACATTTCGTGACCCAACTAAGTTACGTCATCGGGGCTAGGAGTGGGGTTTGCTGTTCCTTAGAGCAGGGGTGCCCAAGACCTGTGGATTTCAACTCCCAGAATTCCCCAGCCCTGTTTGCAGGCCTTAAAAAGTCTCAAAAGGTTGCCAAGGCTGGGCACCCGCTGCAGAGCAAACCCCACAGACAGCGCAAAAACCCTCCTAGCCCTGATGGTGTTACCTACTTGGGTCATGAGACGTCTGCCAAAAAAAACCAAGATAACACCGAGGACCCCACAATTCAACCCTCAGCTACAAATATTCTACCCACTGTTAGTCTACGCTGCCAAACCACCCAACCGCAGGAGCTTGGTAGCACCTTCTCCGTAACTCTGGTCAATCGGAAGCCGCGCTACCGGATTTCCTCCGGGTTCGAGGTCGAGGGGGCTCCCCTGGGCTACCCCCAGGAGATGGGCCCCGGGCTGCCGCTTCAAAGCAACACCAGTCACGTCAGGTAGTCACTGCATTTTATTGGAAAACATTGATATAATTTTTTATTTTCACAGCTTGAACTGAACAAACGCCACCTGCTTTCAAAGACATTCTTGCTCAACCTTCCCCACTCTCTCCGCGGACCCGTCGGTGGAGCGCCGGAGGCAAGCAACCCGAGGGAGCCAGGGGGGGGTCCGGCCTGCCGTGCGCACGGCACAAAAAAACGCGCTCCCCGTCCAGATTCGGGAGAAGTCTGCTTCTCGTTTCAATGGCCTCGCCCCCACCCCCCAAAAAAGAGAAAAACACCCCAAACATCTTTTTTTCCCCCCTCCAAATTTGATTTAAAAAAAAAAAAAACCTAAACGAAATGAAAGAGAAGCAAAACTTGCGGCTCATGCCGTTTGCTGCAAGGAGAGGAGGGGGGGGACAGGAAGAGCTGGGTGGGGAGGGGGGCCGAAAGGGGAAAAGGCGAAGGAAGAAAGCCACAGCTAAGAGCACAGACACCGAAGCCCAGGTGCGTCGAGAGGCGGTAAGTCGCGAGCCACTACGGAAGAAGAAATAAAAAAAGCACTGCAGAGGAGGGAAAAGGGAAAAAGGGCGCCCGGGCGCAGTTGGCATTCACTCAAGCGGAGGCCTCCTTCTTTTATTGCGGTGTCGCCCCCAGCGCGTTCCCCCCTTCCCCAGCTGCCAACCGCCATCGCCACCCGTGGGGCGCATCCCATTCTGGGGGGGTGCATCGCCTCATATATATATATATATATATACATAGCAGCTCTGATGCCGGACACCACGCGAAGGAAACTGTTAAGGACATTTACAATTTTTACAGGGTTGAGAACAACAGACGGGAGATGGACGTTGTCGGGCGGGTGGGTATTTTGGGAAAGCGCCAATTTGGGACAATGCCGGGACCCTCGTCGCCCCCCCCTCCTCGCTTCGACCCACCTCTCCTCCAGGCCGTGCCGATGGGAATCTACTTTCAACCACGGACATCCGGGCGGTGGGATCCGCCCCCGCCCCCCCCCAAACAAAACGAAGGAGGAACACAAAAATAAACCCCTCCCCATTTCTTGCTTGTACCCCCCGGTGTTCCTTGGGGCGAGACCCTCGGTGGTGACTGCCATGTCAACGCGCACAACTGCAGCGCCCGGACACGTGGAACAGGGCTGAAAAAGATTGTTGCACTCTCTCCACCCCTTCCTGGTGGTGGTAGTGGTGATGGTGATGGGGGGGGGGATGTTCTCAAAAAAAAAAAGAGGGAAAGAATCTGCACCCTGAGATATGGGGCCAGCTCTGACTACAGAACAGAATACCCGATGGAAACAAAGACATCCACGAGAGGAAGGAAGGAAGGAAGGAAGGAAGGAAGGAAGGAAGGAAGGAAGGAAGGAAGGAAGGAAGGAAGGAAGGAAGGAAGGAAGGAAGGAAGGAAGGAAGGAAGGAAGGAGAAAAAGAGGAAGGAGAGATGAGTGCAATCATGCAGCTTGGGAAGGTTTTTCTTTTTTTTCCTTTTTTTCACTTTTTAATTGCTTGGTCAGATTTATTCCACAGCCGATTTGTTTGCGTAGAGAACCAGGTTACTTAAGTAGAGAGAGTGTGTGGGAGAAAAGTTATCGAAGGAGAAACGGGCCTTGCCAGCCACTCGGTCTGCGGGCTTCATTTTGCCGTCATCATCTGCACGAACTCTGCAAGAAACACGGCAGAAGGCAACTCGGTGAGCGTGCGTCCCCCTGCTTTAAGTCCAAACCGACGTCCTGGCTGTGGGCCTCGGCCTCCCCTCAGTTCATTCACTTAATGCCCAGGGCACACAATAGACCACCTTTTAACTTGGTTTAAAAGTGTGGCCCAAGAAACAAGGAACCGATATCCCCTACAGCAGTGGTCTCCAACTGGGCTGTGGCATGAAAGCAAGGCTGGGCTAGCAAGTGTCACCTGGGTGCTAGCACTGCCCCGTTTGCGTCGTGCGGGCACCAGCACCGCCCAGTTTGTGTATGTGTTGTCTTCTAGCAGAAGGCTGTCCAACCTCGGCGGCTTTCAGATTTATGGACCAACTCCCAGCAAAGCTGGTTGGGGGATTCTGGGAGTCAAAGTCCACAAGTCTTAAAGCGGCCAAGATTGGACACCTTTGTTCTAGCATCGAAAATGGCGTGTGGTTCTCCAACCCATTCAGAGGCTGTACCAACCTGTGGAGACTCCCCGTGGGGCTGAAGAAGCCGCTCCCCCAACCTCTATCGACGGCACCTTCCGGGCTCCCCTTTCACCCACCTTCGTAGTTGACCTGCCCGTCTCCGTCAATGTCGGCTTCCCGTATCATTTCGTCCACTTCTTCGTCCGTCAGCTTCTCGCCAAGGTTCGTCATCACGTGGCGCAACTCGGCGGCGCTGATGTAGCCGTTCCCATCCTGGCAGGAGAGAAGCTTTCCGGTCAGGATGAGGGAGGGGAGGCAGACCTCCCCCCAGCTGGCTGGCTTTCCTTCCGTGGCTGGGAAAGGCCTCCCCCTTCCCCACTTCCCAGCCTCCGGTCGGTCCCCGGCTTCACCTTGTCAAACACTCTGAAGGCCTCCCGGATCTCCTCCTCGCTGTCGGTGTCCTTCATCTTCCTCGCCATCATGGTGAGGAACTCGGGGAAGTCGATAGTGCCGTTCCCTGAAAGGCAGCGACGGGCACGGTGAGACCGACCGACCGACCGAGCGGCTTTGGACAGCCCCAACGAGGGAGGAGGGTCCCTTCTTGAGAGGCTTGGCAAACTCCCACCCTCCTAACCAGGGGGCTCCTCCTCCCCAACTGGCGAGACTGCTTTTGGCGGGGGCACCACACAGCCCCATTTAGGTGCCGCCTGAATTCTTGTACGGGTAGTCCTCGATTTACAACAGTTCATTTAGTGACCGTTCAAAGTTATGACGGCACTGAAGAAAGCGACTTAGGACCGTTTCCCACACCACCTTTGCAGCATCCCCATAATCATGGGATTAAAATTCAGAGGCTGGGCAGCCGGTTCACATTTATGACGACGATCGCAGTGTCCCTCTTTTGTGACGTGGCAAGGAAGGTCGTAAAATGGGGCAAAACTCACTTAATCAATGTCTCACTTTACAACAGAAATCTTGGGCTCCACTGGGGCCGTAAGTCAAGGACCGCCTGCAGAGAGCACGCAGGGAACTAATTGGGCCGTTCTTCCTGCGGGAGTTTTGGGGTCACTCACCGTCCGCATCCACCTCGTTAATCATGTCCTGCAGTTCGGCCTCGGTGGGGTTCTGCCCCAGGGACCTCATCACGGTGCCAAGCTCCTTGGTGGTGATGGTCCCATCGCCGTCCTTGTCGAAGAGGGAGAAGGCCTCCTTGAACTCTGCAGAGGGCCAGAAAAGCAGGGCACTCGAACCCAGCGCTGCAGCACGCCCGGCAGCTGGACCTCAAAAGGCTCAGGAAGGGGGAAAGAGGGAGTGACGAGCGCAATCTCAAAGGCCCACGCCTGGCACCCGCTTCCCAAACCACCTGCGGCTGGAGAAATCACAGCCTACCCAAGCCAGACGGAGTGCGTTAAAAAGAAGCTGTCGAAAAGAAAGAAGAAAAAAACCCCCGATCCTTCTTCTGTGCCATCAATTTAAGGCCTGCCTCTCCGTGTGTGTTATTGAGCAAGTCTGTCTGTTGCTCTTCAACAATCAGGGGTTGTGAATCCCATGCGTGCTCCTGCGCGGAAACTCACCTGCAATCTGCTCTTCAGTCAGCTGGTCAGCCTGCAAGCAGAAAAGAGAGATTAACCGCTAGGCCTCCTCTGCTGCCTCTTCAGAGGGGTGGAAAATTTGAGATTTTGGGATTTTTTTACTGAATAGCACTGAGGAGGTGGATTCAAAGCCCCCCCCCCCAAATTTGGAGGGACCTCACTTGCCTTTTCTGGGCCTCAACTGAGAGCAAGGAAAACATCCGTTGCAACTGATGCTTCCCCACCCAGATGTTATTTTTTGGCGAAAGGTACCTTGGCGCTACAAAAGCCGACAACAAAGACCCACAAAGGCGACCGATTCGCGCAGGGGAGCTCCACAACCTGCAGCCTGACCACTTGCTTTCTGGAATCCATTCTGACAAAGAGGCGGGGAGGATTGCCGAAAGCCCACTCACGGCAACGGGCACGTTCTCAGTATCATTCATCTCACCCATCTGGCAGATCAAAAAGGCCGGCAGTTCTTCGTGCTGATGGCACAGAGAGATGGGCAGGCTCTTTTTAAGGCCCGGTAGGTGGGTGGGTGGCTTGTCTGAAGCAATCCTGGCTACCGTGAGAAACAGGATGCTGGACCTTGCAGTGAGTCAGCAATTCCCTCCTGCCGCCTCCCCCCACGCCCCGGGGAGGGGGGGAATGCTTTGCAAATCCCAAGCCGATCAGATTCAAAACGATCAGATTCAAAACACAAGCAACGGTGCACTCACTGGTGGGTTTCTTGGCTTAAAATTACAAATATCCTCAGCTTCCATCCCATCTCAGCAGCTACCGGTTCCTCACGGCCTGCGAAAGGCGAGCACAGGTGTTCTGCACCATTGACAAGTCAGGCTTCCCAAGTTTGCTCAATGTCTTTTTTTGGGGGGAGGGAGGAGGAGGGGGGAAGACAGGACCCCCAGGGCCAGACTTCACAAAGACGCGGTCTCTACTTTCTGCTTCTCAAAATGCTGGATGCAAAAGGGCTCTGTTGTCCAGGACAGCCAACAGACCGTTCCTTTCTTTCTTTTTTTGAAAGGAAAGTTTGGAAAAGGCAAGTTCTCCAGAGACAAGAATAGTTGACCAAGGGAGGCTTCTGGAGTGATCTTGGGCAGCTGCTACCTAGGGGTGGGCAACTTGGGCAACCTGACGACCTGTGGAATTCTGGGAGTTGAAGTCCACCGGTCGCCCAATGGTCAGCGTTGCCCATCCCTGTCGCAGACCAGCCACCTCCAAGAACTACAGTGTGACCAGACCACAAATTGGGCTCCTGTGGTGAAGCAGAGGCATTGACCAACAGCAGCCAAGCATAGCCTCACCCGGTCATAAAACTTCTGCCCATCCCATCTGGGGGAGTCTCCCATTACAGGTAGCCCTTGACTTATGACAACTGAGACCCAAATTTTTGTTACTGAGACATTTGTTGAGTTTTGCCCCATTTTCACCACCTTTCTCACCACAGTTGTTAAATGAATCACACAGTTGTTAAGTGAAACTGGCTTCCTCATCGACTTTGCTTGTCAAAAAGCCACAAAAGGGGTTCGTGTGATGACGGGACGTGGCAACCGTCCAGCTATGATCCTTTGCCAAGGGTCTGAATTTTAATCACGTGTCCATGGGGACGCCGCAAGGGTTTTAAGTGTGAAAAATGGTCATGCCTCATTTTTTTTCAGCAGTGCCGTCGTAATTTCGAAGGGACACTAAATGAACGGTCGTAAGTTGAGGACTACCTGCACACGACTGAGATGAAATGGAATTGTGTCAGCCTCTCTTATTTAGGCAAACTGCAATTCTGGAGCAGTTTGAGAGTCGCAAAACTTTCAGGGCGAGTGCCCGAGAGAGAGCGAGCAGCACCAAATCCCATCGTCCTCTTGGAAACCCGGAGGGATTTGCACTCCAGCCCCAACTGCAGTCCTGGCTGGTCCAAGACTGCAGCAACCCAGCCAGAAATCCCCCCCCCCTGGGATGGCCAGAGAGCGTCAAGGATGCAACAGACACAGCGATGCACAGCGAGGGAGGGAGGGAGGAAAAGGTCCCCCCCCCCAGGGGAAAAATAAAACCCCCAGCCATCTGGTCTTCAGACTTCGGGCAAAAGGAATTTCCACAGATCAGCTATTAAAGTTACACGAGGAGCCCTGCCCTTACGATAATTGGGCCCCCAATTTGTTGCTAAACATTTGTCCAGTGGGTTTTGCCCCATTTTACCGCCTTTCTTGTCACGGTGGTTAAATGAATCACTGCAGTTAAGTTAGCTTCCCCCATTGACTTTCCTTATCAGAAGGTCGCAAAAGGGGATCACTGCAACCGTCATAAATACGAGTCAATTGCCAAGAGTCTGAATTTCGGTCACATGATTGTGGGGATGCTGCAGTGGACATTAAGTGTGAAAAAGGGTCTTAAGTCACTTGTTTCAGTGATGTTGTAACTTTGGTCATTAAATGAACTGTTGTTAAGTCGAGGACTACCTGTTAAAGGGGCGGGGAGAAAGAGGGGCTCATCCTCAGAGACTGGGGGGGGGGGGACCCAGAGGGAGGAAGCGAGGATGATGAAGCACTTTTGATGGAGCAAAAGAGGGGAAGGCTGAGGAGAAGGGTCTTTCCCCCCCAGGTGTGCCAGAAAAGATCAAACTTCTGCTGAAGGGAAGGAATAAGCTTCATTTGTTGCACCAATTCTCTCCTTCAGCTGAAGCACAGATGGTGTGTGTGTGTGGGGGGGTGCCCAAGAAAAAAACAGCCCACCCTTAATTTTGAACCAACCTGGCATCCCAGCTACGTTTTCTGAATCCAGAACGAGGCAAGAAAAATCACTCTTCCTTCCTGGAACTGTCCGTCTCTTTGGAAATAACCTGCTTTTTTATCCCACTGCCCGTCACCTTAAACACAGCTGTGTCCCCAAAGCCCCCCTGAAGACGATTTGTGGCATGGATTCATTTTGCAGAAACTGCCAGAGTGACAGAGCGGCAACGACTCAAGGCGGCTTTTTGTGCAGGCTTTGAGGCAAAGAGGCTCTCGGAAGAAGCTCGGCATCAAGCGAGCAAAGAACGAGAAAAGATGAGCTGGTGGCTGGGCTGATGTGACAACAGCTCCTGCCAGCAACCTTCTGTTTTGTGAAGAAGGGACGAGGCAGAGGATCTGAAGAGGCCAGTGTGTCACCCATGCGCCGGAAACTGCAGTGGGGAGTAAAAAAAACCCAGCAGGACTCCGAGGAACTTCACAGGAGGCCTCCATGGCGTTCTTGTCTCCCAACAGAGGGTCCCCAACCTTTTGGCCACCAGGGACCGGTTCCGTGGAGGGAGGATTTTCCGTGGACTGGAAGGGGCCTGGTTTCGTGTGCTGCCTGCATCCCACGGAGGGGGTTTCGCTTGTTTGTGCAGACCAGCTTCTAACATGCCACGGACCCGGGCTTGGGGACCCCTGTCCTAGCAGACCAACCCCCTGCAAAACCGCAACTTCAAATCAAATCCACCCTGTATATATAAATCCTCCACACAGGCAAAGAAGTGCCAACAAAAGTGTCCAAGTCCAGGTCTTCTCCACCTCGCCCTAATAAATGCTTCTCAAGAAAGCAGCAGCCCAACCCACCCACTCTGCACATGCTTCTCTCCCTCCAGAGCTTCAGCTTCTGAGCCAAAGCCCCAAGCGAGCCTTTGCAGTCGCCCTCTGCAGAGCTGCGGCCCAAGACCAACCGGCCACGGCTCCTTTGCCATCCGAAGCAGGCGGGCCAGCGCAGGGCTTCAAGGTAGAGGAGCGTTGCGTGAGCTGCCTGCCGACCAGGCCCATCCTGCCGCTTTTCCTTTCCGCTGAGGTCAGAGGCGGCCCCAGCTGCATTTCCTTCTTTAGGCAAAGCAAAGGGCCTCCCAAGGCCGGGGGAATGAAACATCTGGAAACCTCGTCAGATGTGCCTGCCGCTGCAGAGGACCAGCCCTCTGCCAGAGTAGCGACTTCGGGTACGTTCCGGTTGCCCTGCATCTTTTTCCAGACAGGACACCCAGCTCTGCTCCCACCCCTCCAAATCGCTGCCATGAATGGGTACCAGCAAGCAGGGGCATCCCCCTTCTGCAAACCCCCCCCCACGCAGGGAGAGATGATTGCAACCCACAGCCTGACTCTTTTATCAGCATCTTTCAGGATGCCGTGAGCGCAATCCTGAAGTGTTTCCCCCTCCAAAGAAGATACACTGCCCCATCTTCTCCAATGCTTGCTGTCTGTCTCCCCAGACGTCTGGAGCCATCTCTCCCCCACACCATGCTTGTCCTCCTCCTCCTAGATCAGCCCCTCCCTCGCCCCCAAAAGCAGGCCAGAAGACCCCCCACCCACCCACCCACCCTTGCCCTGCTCCAAGCATCCCAGCCAGGCCTGGCC